AATAAACAAAAAGGGCAGACCCATATAAGTTTTATTCTCTAAGGTCAAAAGTCAACCATAAACAAATAATCCAATTTCCAACACAAGTGATGACTATTGAAGAAAAAAAATCTAGAGGAAAGTGACAAATGCAATAAGCATAATATTAAACCTCATAACTCAGTAATCTGTGCATTCCACTTTACCTATAAGTTGTGGAGTGCCATATGCGTACTGTACCATCTTCAGAACCAGTAATGATTATAGGAAGTTCAGGATGGAAGCATACAGCAGATACATTGTGTGTGTGACCATCTAGGGTCTGGACACAACCTTTGGTCTGATAATCCCATACCTGTTTCGTAAGTTTCAACTGTTATTCCTCTTCATATGTTATATGCATATATGTATGTATATAATTGCATAAATTGATAAATCAAAGAAGCAAACAAACAAAAACAAATATTAAAACAAAACCTTGGCAGTGTGATCATCAGAACCAGTGATTAGATATGGTTTGTCACCACCTGTAAAATAATCAACACAATTTACTCCTTTCTGATGCGCATCCAATGTAAAATTAGGGTCAGGTGAGCCAAGATTCCAAATCTGAAAAAGAAGAAAACAGTTGTAATCAGTATGTGCTTCAAATACTTTGACCTTATCCATCGTGTTATAATTATATACACGAATAAACATATCATCAGCTCCGGCAACAACCCATTGTCTGCGTGCAATAAACTTGGCTGATCTAACTGCAAAATCATGTTGCATAAGAGCTCTAGTGGTTTTTAGAAAATGCATCAAGAGCTAGTTATACAAAACAAATGGATTAAATAAAATTCATAACTTCATGTACCTGGTAACTCAGTAACCTCAAAAGATTTGGCCATGGTCTGAAATATAATAAATAAAATTATGTTAATAACAGAAGCAAATGTCCATTGAAATTAACAACAACCCGTTTAAAGCAGCAGTTTTGTGAAGAATTTAAATATAAAACAGGAAACTGAGAAACTAACATCCCTTATTAACAATCTATGAAGATACAAGGAATGTGTCATAAGCTATGATATTATAAATAAACAACCAAGACCAAGACCCATCATAGAAAAGCAAGACTACAAATCCTAACCCGATACACTAGAAACTGAAAAAATCAAGCCTGCGTGATATGAAGTTTTAAAAGCAAAGGAAATGCCAAACGATGATCATAATATCTACAGTTATTCAAATTTTATCATGAAAACGTGCTTAAGTCTCACAGCTCAACAGAAAGCCTTATAAAGGCATCCAAAATATTCAGAAGCACATAATTTTATCTAAATGTATTCCAAACACAGACTCTAGGATCTCGTAAATAAGATTACTTACTGGTCTTACATTTGGAACTTCAAAAGGGTGTGATATGGATTAAAAAAGCACACAGTATACTCATCAAATATTGACCAGTATGTAAATTTCACACAAGTCCCAGTTTCTATTCATTTTAAAGTACAAAATACAATAACATTTTCTAACCATGCTTCAAGACAAAATCACTTAAAGAGCACCATTTATTCGTTCAATATTTTCTCCATGTAATGAATCACTACATCATACAGTATTATATTCAATCAATCATATAATATAGATACTTGAAGATTTTGAAGGAATCATGATGAATACAAGAGAAGAATGAAAGAAGAAAGAAATGAGCTTTTGCTGAACTCCCATTCTTTCAAGTGCAAACTCAAACTCAATCTCAATCTCAATCTCAGACTCCAATTCCAAATTTTTACTTATAACTCATACATATGCAAAGTCAATTTCATTTTTATTTCATAATTAATTATAACAAACGTACAGTTTCACAGCCACACACTCTTGTCCCCTTCGCTGACCGGCAGAGCCACCACAAAAACAGTCGTAGCGCGTCTTGCTACCTCCATCACCATCGCAATGCTATTCGCTCCAGATCTACCAACCTTCAGTGAGACTGTCGTTGCCGCCGCGTTCCGGACATCTCCCACGAACCCCGAAACCTGCGTCAACGAACCCAGCCGCAAAACCCCCAAATCGGCGTCAACTAACCCAACCGCAAAACCACCAAACCGGCCTCAGCGAACCTAGGCTTAGAACCCCCAAACCGTCATCTTCAATCCCAGCCAAAGAATCCCCAAACCAGTGTCAACCAACCAACCCTCACTTGTCCCAGAATCGCTCAATATTGGAGGGTACATTGGAGGGCACGAGCAAAATAGGGAAGGGAAGGGGGAAGCTTCAGAGAAGAGAACAAAGGGGAGGGAAATTGGAAAATTTGGAGAAAACGACGAAGCGTGAAGAAAATGAAACTGGGGAACGAAAATTCCAATCTGAGACTTAAATTAGAGAGAATGTTACCGAGGGCTTACAAGCCTTCGCTAATCATCTCAGTACCGAGGGCTTCAAAGCCTTCGGTAATATGCCGTCTGTAAATTGCGTTTTTCCAGTAGTGAAAGTCACTTTTTAACTCCATTTAGACGTTTGATCCCGCCAATCTAACTTCTACAGCCATATAGACGTCGGGGGAACCGACTTCTACATACTCATTTTTTAAATCTAAAAAGTTACTTTTTAACTCAATTTAGACGTTCAATCCCGCCAATCCGACTTCTACAGCCATATAGACATCTGATGTGGGGGGAACCGACTTCTATATGGCTGCATTAAAACACTGCGAACGCGAGGCAACAATTACGCATTCTTAATGTTCATCATCTTCCTCACGTTTTCTCTCTATGGGTTACGCTTTTCAAGTTCGTTTTCTCACTTTTGCACCATTTTAAATTAATTTTACTTCAATTACATCACTCTTTGATGCATTATATTTCATTTGAACCGATTAAAATGTGTTTTCGTTGGATTTTGGTGCAGTTTTGCTCGTGTCCTTAGGCGGCGTTCTTGGGCGGCGACTTCTTGCGTTTTGAACTCCTCCAATTCTTTCCACTACGTTTTTAAAACCACCCAATACAAAACAAAATGTACAATACATTCTCTTCGACTAAAATATAAAGTTGTAAACTTGAATTACCATGAGCCAGGGGCAACCCGAGAGTCCTCAAGCGGAAAAAGACGCAATCAAATACGACAATATTTTAGACGTCTGATCTATAGTGCCAGACGTCTATATAGATGTCTGATCTGTATGGATCAGACGTCTATATAAACGTCTGACCCATTGGGTCCGACGTCTCATTAACGTCACCTATATAGACGTCGGACAAAAATCAGACGTTAAAAGCCCAAAATAACATACGTCTAAAGTCCTTTCTGCACTAGTATCAACAAATTGAAGTCTATCGGTAACCCATCAAAAAACTTCAATTACCAACAAAATTTGGATGTTATCAATGGGATACTTTAGCGGGTAATTCTAGTTTGTTTTATAGTGCAAAAACTATTTTGAAAAAATTGAAAATATTAATAGAATAAAAATATTTATTAAACCTATACAAGTTTTTACCGGAAAACACTATAGTTTACCGAATTGATCGATCAGTTTAAAAAAAGAACACGTCTCATAAAGTCCAAATACAATTCAAAGCGTACGTCCGCATTTACGTGTTATCCTTGTATGTTGACCACTTATAAAGTGAACTATTGATTGGTCAAAAGATATATTTGTTAATAACATCCAACGCACTCTCTTACGTCATATCATTGAACATTGACAATTGTGACTTTGTTCCTTTCACCCGACATCTATAAATACACAACTCAATCTGAATTAACACCATATAAGTGAAGCAAAACGAAAGGGCAACCAGAGAAAGAAAAAGTATCAGACAAATAAGTTTGCACAAAAATGGGTGAAATTAATCATGTCATCCCTCTTCTTACACCTTACAGGATGGGGAAATTCAACATTTCCCACAGGTACTTTCATAAAAACATGCAAATACATTCACATTTAAGTTACTCTTAAACTTCAATTCATTAGCTAAATATATGTTAAGCTTTTTTAGATCAATTCTCTTCAGATTATATATGTGTGTGTGTCAATAATTAGATTCTTTAATTTTCATCTGTCTTATTTAACTTGAGAAACTGTTCTGTCAAAGATATAAAGAACATGCACATGCATGCACCTACTTTCTTGGTTTAAAGTTTATGTAACTGTGTTGCTTTTTGCATTTTCAGAATCGTTTTGGCACCGTTATATAGAGCAAGAGCTTACAATAATGTTCCTCAGCCACATGCTATCCTATATTACTCTCAAAGAGCTACCAAGGGTGGTCTTCTCATTTCTGAAGCTACCAGTATTTCACCCTCTTCTAAATAGTACGTAATTTACAAACATACTCACGTATCTGATAAGTCTGATATTCAACATATAGTTACTATTTTCTGTTGTATTCAAAATTCATCTCATTTGATGATACTTCTCATTTGTATATAGCCCAAACTCACCTGGTATATGGTCAAGAGAGCAAATTGAAGCATGGAAACCCATTGTGGATGCTGTTCATGCCAAAGGTGGAATATTCTTCTGTCAGATTGTTCATGTTGGAAGGGTTTCAGAGGAAGGTATATAATTTGTGCTTTTAAATTACAATTTCTTGGTGAACTTTATAGAATATAATATCAATCAGATATTCATTAATTTTTTATGCACACCCAGATGGGGAAGCTCCAATTTCATCAACCAACAAGCCATTAAAATCTGGTAATGGCATGCAACCAAGAGCGTTACAGACAGATGAAGTTCCTTCTATTATCAATGACTTCAGAATTGCAGCAAGAAATGCTATGGAAGCAGGTAAAAATGAGTATACATAACTCATAAATAACACATGAATTTTCACTTCATACACTAAAAAGTCATAATGTTAATGAGTCTTTATAAATACTATAATCATGAAGATCTTCATAAGTTTGTAACCACAAGTAGTACTGGTACAGGGTTTGATGGAATTGAGATTCATGGAGCACATGGTTTTCTGATAGACCAGTTTTTGAAAGACCAAGTTAACGACAGAAGAGACCAGTATGGTGGATCATTGGAGAATCGTTGTCGGTTTGCATTAGAAGTTGTTGAAGCTGTTGTTGAAGAAATAGGAGCAGATAGAGTTGGAATGAGACTATCACCTTTTTCAGATTACAATGAATGTATTGACTCCAACCCTCAAGAACTGGGTCTCTACATGGCCAAATCTCTCAACAAACATGGTGTGGTGTACTTGCACATGGTCGAGCCAAGATGGAACATTTCTGGGGAGAATGTGGAAAGCCCTTACACTCTTGAACCAATGAAGAAGGCCTTTAATGGCACTTCCATTGTTGCTGGAGGCTATGACAGAGAAGAAGGGAACAAAGCTGTGGCTGAGAACAAGACAAATCTTGTTGCTTATGGTCGTTTGTTTTTGGCTAATCCAGATTTGCCTAAGAGATTTGAGGTTGATGCACCACTCAACATGTACAACAGAGACACCTTTTACACTCATGATCCGATTGTTGGTTACACTGACTACCCTTATCTTGAAACCACCACTTAAGGATATCACATCAAATATAAATTAAGGTTTACTTTGTGGTTCAATAATTTATGTTCAAATGTTGTTGTTTAATCTGTATTTGCAGCAGTTTTCACCCAATAATAAATTGTAACAGAAAACCTTTAAAATAGCATAATAATATTATCAATAAGAAAAGTGAATGATGTGGTTGTCTTATTTGTCACAAGGTAGGTATAGAGTTTAATAAATAATTGGTGAAGTATAAAATTTTCATTTGAATAGAAAATATATACAAGCTTATAGGAGAATTGATTATGAAATTTTGTTTGAAAAAAACAAGAGGATTGATGTGAAAAACGTTGAGCGAGAGCGAAAAAAAAGAAGGATGAAGTGTGAAGAAAAGACTTAGAGTATATAACAGTAATATCCACTTGAACAATTTTGTAAGCAGCACGTAATTTTCTTTTTAGTCCTTTCAATCGATTTGGAGCTACAGTTAATAACTGTAGGGGGTGTAGGAAGCAATAACGATATTTAGTTTGACAACTGCAGACAAAATAATCAATTGAGTTCATGTGTCAGTCAAACCTTATACAGAAAGAAATATATTTTATAAAATTACATTACTTCTCCAATAATATTTGAATCATTATTTGATATAGTTTGTATTTTAATTTTAGTATTAATATATATATATATATATACCAATACATAATATTATATCATATATATAATTATGTTAATCGAACAGTAGATTAGCTCGTGAGCCTCAAGATAAAATCCATTACTGGAAACTGAAGGGGGGGTTCTGCATATTTATGAGTGAAGGTGTGAAGCTAACATTGAAAGTTCTAAATTTTCGTAAGTTAGATGAAGTAATGAATAGCCAAATACTTAATCATATAAATATGCTATAAATTATCATTTTCCGACGAGTGAAAACTATAAATTTGTACTCTCACTTTCCCTGCCTCAAAGTGACAGTTAGAAAAGGTGTAAAATAGAAACACATTCCCTAACAAGCAGTGAATTTTTTAGTATAGAAAATCATTCAAAAATTCTCAAATAATTTTACCCTGTCTTTAATAACCCAACAAATATCTTGGGGAAAGGAACATATCCATAGCACTAGTATGGTTATATTTACAATATCTGCTCAATTACATACAAAATCAGTAGAAAAACTTTTTCCAGTCCTGCACAAGCACACAGGTAGAAAAAATTTACAGCACCTCTCTCTTTCAATAAAAACTTCTAAAAATTATGAGAATACAAGAAATGAGAGAATCTTAATCAATGGAAACGAAAAGAGATGGAGAAAAGGATGTGTCAAGGACGGAATTTCTTTATAGCCACCAAGCCATAACCTTTTAGAAGTTCCCACCCAATGTGGGACTTCATTCCTCACAATCTCCCACTGAAGATTTTGATGAAACTAATCAATCTTCACACCATTTTTCCTTCGTGTTGCTTGTTCTTTTCGATAACTTCAGTAGAATCGAATTTCGTAATCTGCCAA